CACAGTGATGACATATCACTAGGATTTAAAGAACGTCTTGTTACCTACTGTAATATAACACAGATTATACTGAAATCATCCTCAACCCATTTCTTTTCCTGTGCCTCCAACGCTGAAACCATTCATAAACCCTTGCTACACTTAGAATGGATTTTCTTAAAGTGATAACAAAAATTAAAGAAAAAATGATATAAAGCTAGCAGGAAATCTGTTTCTAAGGTCCTATTTGTCAGTAATCTTGTAATTAAATTTTACAGAGCTTCTTTCTTACTACAAGATGTTCAGATCTGGCACCTGCAAAAATGCTTTGACCCCCCCCCCACCCTCATTATTATCATGGTCTTTTAAAATTAACTATTAATTTAATTGGAGGTTCCTATTTATACATTATCAGAGAGAGAGAAATAATTTCTGTCCATCTATGGTTCCTTTAGACTACTCTCTGAATGACTAATGCAGCAGATTTTTACAATAAATTCTACCAATACCTGATTTGGTGCTTTAGTATTCTTAGAAAACTTACTGTTAATTTGAAAAGCAGATTCTATTAGTGCCTCCATATTTGACCACAGGAGAGTCAAAACATCAAATTATCTCTTTCTATTCTCTCCCAACTGTTTAATCTGCAAATTGTTCCCTCTTGCACAACTGTTGAAGACTTATTATAGACAGTCACACTTTTACTTGCAATTTCCAAAATTCGCTTCCAAAAGGCTGAATGCTTTGCAATTTTGTTGTTATGATTAGCACCTATTTTCTTTCTAATGTTTTAGTCATCTGATTAAAAAATTAGGATCAAACTCTTAATTTTTGTTCTAAAGCTATACGCCTTTTTTTTTGCTCATACACACACACACATTTACTTAGGTTAAAATTTTCAATTCATTTTGAGAAACTCATTGAATGTTACGTGTTTAATTTCCTTCAATATGGGCATATTTTATACTCTACATGCATTCATTTGTTTTTTGACTAGTGTTTATTTTCTGTTCACAGGAACACATTTGTGAGTTTCTGATGAACACAGTATAAGCAAAAACCAATACAATTATCCGTTTATCAATCACATATTATTCAACTTAACTGTTCATCTCTGTATTTTTGCTGCTGATCTGTTACTCAAATCCCATTAACTAATCAATTTAATAACAATTTGTTACAAATCCAATGATAAATTACAGGCCTATTTGTTTAATCAACTATCTTACTGATGTGGAAAAATGGATTTGATCTGCCAGCATTCACTAAACATTGACTGAAGATACAGTTCTAATCATTCTACAACAGAGCTTTATATAACTATCCAATCCTAGATTCCTAACAACAGTTCAACATAGGAAAGCTTTAATCAGTTGATCTTCCTTCTTCCCTACAAATGATGGACAGGGTTATAAAAATTCCAGATAAATAGCAGATGACAGACCATAGAAACAACAGGAGCAATGGTGCTCCCAGATATGCACCTTCCTCCTCATGCAGCAGCCTCTGAAAAGTGATGCTGAATCACAGGAGCTCTAAGAGCAAAATGTGATGCAAAACAAGGGATTGCTGTGAAGAGAAGGATTCAGGAGACATCGCCTATCCTCCTCCTTCTGCTGGTGGAGTTTCTGATGATGCAAGCACCTCCAACAGCACAAGAGACGATATTCCCCCAGAAATAATACATCTAGATTAGATTACTATAATGTGCTTTCTGTAGGGTTGCCCTTGAAAACTGTTCAATAAACTTTAATTGGTTCAATGCTGCAGCCAGAATGTTGACTGGAGTGGGTCACAGGGACAATGTCACTCTAGTCTTGACCCAAGGTGCACCATATTTGAAGAACTTGAAGAATTACCTAACCTCTTATGAACCTACCAGACCACTGTGGTCATATTCTGAGAGCCATTTGGTGTAGTGGTTAAGTGCGCGGACTCTAATCTGGAAGAACCGGGTTTGATTCCCCACTCCTCCACTTGCACTTGGCTGGATGACCTTGGGCAAGCTGTAGTTCTGATAAGAGCTGTTCTTGAAAAAGAGCCGTTTCTGTCAGAGCTCTCTCAGCCCCACCTACCTCACAGGGTGTCTGTTCTGGGGAGGGGAAGGGAAAGGAGTTTGTAAGCCGTTCTGAGACACCTTTGGGTAGTGAAGGGCGGGGGTATAAATCCAATCTCTTCTTCTTCTTCTCCTGCCTTCTAAAATTAGGTGGGTGTCGTGGGACTCATCTCATCCCATCTGCTGACATATTCTGCCAGCTAGTAAACAGTTTTTCAGTTCATTTGGTGTTATCTCAGTGATTCCCTCCTTCCTGCCCTATGTTTTAATTCTTGTTTTTAATGTCTTTGTATGTGTGTTTTAAGGTCTGGTTTTAATTATGTGGGTGGGGTTTTTTGTTTGTTTTAAGGGTTTTTAAGATGTGATTATATCATGTATGTTTTTAATCTGTTAGGTGCCTTGGTCGCCCTCATGAGGGCAGAAAGCCAAGGATCCTGTAAATAAATAATTTCCCAGTATGGTGATATTTAATGCCTTGGCAGCTAAGCAAGCTACACCTTGAAGGGTGTGGACAGTTTTTCAGGAACTTGAGTTACCAGTAATGTGGAAATGGCAGGTAGGCGGTGGAATTACCATTTGAGAAAGCCACAAGCCAGTACGGCGGGAAGTCTTCAGTCTACTGGGGGACAGGGGAGTTTCAAAGGCATTTATTTGGATATTTCCTGCATGTTGGAGCAAGTTGTTATCTGTACCTGGGTACTTCCCTGAGAAAGGCTGATTTCCTGAAGAAACTGAGGCTTCAGTATGCATGTTTTGGATTGCACTGTAACACTTCCGTTTAGAAATCAGCGTCCACATCCAAATTAAGCCACGGATAGGATCCACAGCCAGCAACATAGAACATTGTTTTCTATTTTTTCGTGGAACACTGGTATAAATTATAATTTATTAAAAATTTTGGTATGAAACATGAATTTGAAAATCTAAACTTGTGAGGATTGTAATTATTTATTTGGAATACATATATCTTGTCTTCTGAATATTACTCTTCTAATAATCTGTCTGGCTTTAAATTTTGGGGCTGAATCCTAGATCTATAGATAATTATAATACTTAAAAGTTGTCAGGGTTTGAACTACGTTATCTGTTTAACAGGTCTGCTGAAGCAGTCTTCAAACAACAATCTCCAAAATTCAACATATGCCTGACATAAATCCTGCTTTTCATGGTCCTGTTACTGAAGTGTTGTTACATTATGGAAATTTCAGTCTTTGGGTTGTAAAAAAGATTGGGATAAAATAACAGGCAAATAAAAACTCAACACAACTAACAATACAGGTTATTTTCAGATATCAAAAACCAACCTCTCTTTATTAATGAAGAACAACATCTTGACTTGTTATTTTATTCAAATGTGCCCTCCTCCATTCATGCATGAAGTGTAATTAAAAACTTCCTGTTCTGGTAAGCCTTCAATCAAATTCCAATTTGCCATGATATCCATGCAGATGGATGAAGAAACTGGGGTTTGTTTTCTTTCCACATACTGAGACTCTAAGCCTCAATGTAATACTAGTACAGAAAATCCTATTAAATAGTGGTTCAACATAAAACATGATTCAGAAATTACCAAGAAATTCCTGTCCACCTGACACAAATTTCTGTGCAAACAACACACTCCGTTGCATTATCAGTATGGTCGTTTACAAATCCTACAGTTTTGCATATCTCATAGTTTTTGCCCTCACAAGACTCCTTTAAGACACCATACTATATTCCTCTCTTTCCCAATTAGGAAATTGAGGCTGAGAGATTATACAGCCTTAAGAAAGTCATTACAAGTCAATGACAGAGCCAGGAGTTCCAGATTAAAATCTAACTTCCTTGAATCCACTGAGATAAACAGCACATCATCTATTTTAAAATATGTAGCATCAATATCACTAGCCACAAGTTTGGTGGTAGAAAATTTTATGGTCACTGTAAGTACTCATTCCGTATGTCCACACAAAGCCTAATAATAGGATACTTCTTATATAAACAGTAGAATCGTGGTTAGAGTGTCAGAACAGAGCTGGGGAGACCCCACTCAGTCACCATAGATCTCAGGTAACCTGAGGCCAATCACTCTTTCTCTCAGCAGAACCCATCTCACAGGATTGTTGTGAGAATAAAACAGGGAACGTGTGAAGCATGTACACTGTATTGAGTTTCTTGGAAACTGTATTAAGTTTCTTGGGGAAAGAGAAGGATAAAAACAAGATAGACAGATGCCAGTTTATTTTTACCATCATTAAAAGCCTTACAAAATGTAGCTTAACTCCACTAATTTCAAAGATACAGTATAGTTAAAAAGAGATATGTCAGTCTTCACACCTATTATTCCAACACTGGCAACCATCCAGACAGGATGCAACAGCAAAACTAGGTTTACCATCTAATTAATATTAGGCAGGGAGCCACAACCAATCCCACACTCTTGACAAGTCTGTGCATAATGTGTCTATCTGACAGTCACCCTTTCTTTTAAAAGGTATTAAGAAACCACCAGATTCACATTTAAAACAGATCCCCTATAAAGGAAATGGGTCCTTACATTGAGTGCCCCCTCCACGGCTTTGAGTGTGTATGTGGAACCGTCACCCACGTGGGCACTGAAGGGGGGACGGGCACGCCTCCCATGCCTTGAAAGAAAGCAGGCCCCTTACCAAGCATTGCCATGGTAAGTGTGATTTGCATTCCTCTAATTTTTAGAGCAACAGACGAGAACGCTACCAGAGACGACGAGCTGGGAAAGGATCCGTTGCACTCCAATTACATCCCCTCACAGCCCTAGGAACCCCCGGCGGCTTCCGAGACACCGCTACAGGCCGAAAGAAACACTGCCGCGTATGAATACACTAACTGTCAGTAGGAGCCACGACCCCTCGACACCCGGCAGTGTGTGGAATCCAACGCAGGCCCCAAGAAAAGGCGGCGACACTCCCCCCCCCGCCCCGCTTGACAGGCCCAAGCCAGGCGGGCGCCATGCTAGAAAGCAAAATGGCTGCCCCAGGGAAAGCAGTCCAACCCCGGGAGCCGCGAGGGGGCTGTGCCGAGTGACGCCCGCCACGCCACGCCTCGCCGAGACCCGCCACACGCAGGTACCTTCTCTCCCTCCCTCGCCATCCGCGGGGCAGTGTCCGACACCGGCCCTTCCTTCCCCGGCCCCTAACGCACACGCAGTGGCCCGGTCTCCCCCGTCAGTCATTGTCCCTTAAGACACGCAGCCCGGCCCCCGGCTTGGCCTTACCTGGAGCTCAGCCCTTTCCACCTCCCAGTGGGCGCGCTCCATCTCGAAGCGGGCCCACTCGTGCTGGATGTAGTGCAGGATCCCCGGGATGGTGTAGTGTTGCGGCCGAGAGAGTTCCGACGCGCTGCCGCCACCCGGCCCCACCGCTTCCTGCGCTGCCGTTGCCGGGCCTTGGGGCTGCTGCGGCGGTGGCGGCGGTCCCCCTCCGCCGCCTGGCCCCGCACAGCCTTGGCTGAGCATCTGCGAGTTGGCGCTTCCTCCGGAGGGCGGCAGCGGCTGCTGTTGAGGTCTCGGGGCCGCCCCGGCCACGATCCCCCCGCCGGCGCCGGGATGTTCGTCCATTGTCTGTGGGGAGTCCCCCTCCCTGTCCTCTCCTCCCCTCCTGTGCCGGGAGGGTTCCTGAGACCGGGGCGGGGAAGGAGGGGCTGATGAGCGGTGCCGGCTGGGAGGAGGGAACGGGACCGGCCCGCGGAGGAAGGCCAAGGCCCCGCAGACGGAGGAACAACCTGGTGTCAGAGCAGCGCCGACTTAGAGCCGCTGCCGTTACTGCCGCCTCCGGCCGCCATTACAGTCTCAGCTCCATCATCGGCCGGACAGATTCACTCCGCTGGCTCACCCACCCACTGGAAGGCCGGGGAGGAGGGAGCGCAGAGCATGCTGGGAGAAGCACCCGCCTTGCTCCGGCTCCCGGACAGTTTGGTGATGCGCAGGCGCGCCTGTTGATTGAAGGACGCTGAGGGGAAGAGAGAGGGACTGTGTTTTTCGTGCCATGTTTGGGGGGGGGGGGGAGTATCATTTACGGTCTCGTTTCTTTCACGTTGCCTGCTGAAGGGAAGTTGACGAAGGACGGGCAAAAAGGGACCCAAGTGGCCACTGTTTTCCGAACCTCATATTAACTACTGCCGACTTCATCTTACCTGTGCAGCTCCTAACACGCTTTCTGCTCTCCATAAACTGTTCTTTCTTGGTTCGTATCTGAACTTCAGATTCCGAAATCACGTGTAAGTGCCCCAGAGAGTCCCATTCAGCTTCAGATATATTCGCTGGATTTTTTTTAATTATTATTAAGGTACTGCTCGATCCATCTAAGAGTTATCCCTGGGCTAGGGTTGCAGGACGTGGATTTGGGGTGAAACCTGGGGAAGGCGGGGTTTGGGGAGGTGAAGGACCTCAGCAGGATGTAAATACCATAGAATCCAGCCTCCAAAGCAGCCATTTTCTCCAGGGGAACTGATCTGTTATCTGGAGATCAGATGTAATTCTTGAACTTATCCAGGCTCCACCTGGAGGTTGGCAACTATACAGAAAATACGAAATGCTAATAAACGAGTGGATGTACAGAGTTCTCTCCCTTTTTTGGCTGTTTAACGAGCTGTTTTATAGGGAGCTTTGTCTTCTGAAACCTGTAATCAATAAATAATAGCTAATTATAAATCTCTCATTAATGTCTGATATTTTATCCAGTTAGATTTGAGTCCAGTAGCACTTTAGAGACAAACAAGATTTTCAGGGTATAAATTTTCAAGAGTCAAAAATCCCTTCATCAGATATGCGACTGGACCCAAATCTAAATGTCTACTGCAGACCAAAAGTGCTACCCTTTGAAACACTTTTTATCCCACAGCCCTTTCCCCACTATGAGGTGGAAGGTGGATTGAAGCAAGGGCTGACTCATCCCACCTTTGGAAACTTTTCTCTGGAAGGGATTTTATTTTTAATTGGGCAGGAATAATTTCCCTATTTCACTCCTCCTCATTTTGATGCTGTCTGGATAATGCTCCCTTTCTCCCCTCAGTTTATAGCTTTTCAGTGGGCTGCTACTGTTTTGCTGCTCCGTCAGCTCACTTAAAATGGTCTCCCTGATAGTGGGTTGTGCCAGCAAAAGATTCTTGGCATTGCAGCTACATTCCTCACATGTCTACAGCTGACTTCTTGAGGCTGAGGAGCAGGCTACTTCCCTCACTATGCACAACACACACACACACTCACACCCAAATGAAGCACACTCTGACTTTACTATTCCTCTTGTGATTACACTGTCACCCAAAGTAGCAAGGCAGCAAATAGAAACCAGAGTGTGAGCACTCAGCAATGTAGTATCAAATTACTACTGTGAGTATTGGATTAAATTAAGAAAGGCTATCTTCTACATAAAGGAGGGAGAGATTTTTGGAGAGATCCCCCCAAGGGAAGGCATGGAAACTCCATCACTGGGATGTTTTAAATGAGATCAGCCAGCCATAGGGAACATGCCTTCTTTGGCCTTTGGTAGACTACTCAGTCATCCCTGCAGGCCCCAACTGCCATAAAAGAAACAGCCTGCTATATAAACTATGTGTAAGAATATTTTATATGTACATGGTAAAACAGAAAGACGGGAGCTAGATGTTTTCTTTGAAGGTATGGAATTAAAATATGGAAGTACTGTGTTGGCATTCTTGAAGTTAAACAAAGGTTTTATTTAAATCAGATGTTGTCACAATAAATCATATGCCATCGACTAATAATAAGTAAATCCCATTGAAAATTCTTTTAATCCTGAATTACTTTGAAGCAAGAAGTATGCTTTTAAGGCTAGTATAATGAATATAATGTATTTTAGTTATAAACAAGGGGGGACCCGCGATACTCGCGGGGGGGGCAGAGGCGGAAGCAGCAGGAGGGAGTAAGTACCCCCCCATCCTGCTGGTTCCCCCCTGTCCTCCACCC